CATTTCAACAAGAAGTTATCCACATGCATCCAACTGAATAATTCCAAAAACCACCCAAAATGCATTACAATGCATTAGGAGCCTGTGGTTAAGTCAGCTAAGCCAGTGTGGAATATTGGTTAAAAATGCTGGACTGGGACCTGAGAGACCAAGTTCCAGTTCACTCTTGGCATGAAAAGCACTGCATGGTCTTGGTCCCGTCACTCCTTCTCAGTCTAACCTATCTCACAGGGTTGTTGGAGGATAAAATTGAAGAAAGGAAGAGTCCTTGGAGGAAAGGAAGGATTAAAATGGACTGAATAAACAAATGAATGTACTAAATAGGCAAAGGTCATAATTGATTCCAAACAACATAAATAGCATCTGCAGTCACTTGATTTTTCCCCTAATCTAATCTGATGTCTTTACTTTTCTTTCAGAGCGACATTCCACACTCATGCCATATATCAGTTGTAATGTTTGTTGTGGATTTCCAACACTGAAGTACATGTTAGATCACAACGATATTTTTTAAATGGTATTAATGATTTATGTGCCATTCCCCCCCTGTAAATAAATGAGGAAACAAAGCCGCTTACATCATTCTCCTTGCCTCCATTTTCTCCTTCCAACAACCTGGTGAAGTAGGTCAGGCTGAGAGTATGTAATTGGCCCAAGACTTTCACCTAGCAAGCGTCCATGAACCTGCATCTCCCTGAAGCCAACACTCAAGCCACTACACCACACCATCTCTATATAATATTTACTTTCATTTTTAATCTCCTCATATATCAAGCTCCAAAACTATTTTACTTTTTTCTTCTTCTTAGAAGAAGAAGAGATTGGATTTATACCTCGCCCTTCACTACCCAAAGGTGTCTCAGAGCGGCTTACAAACTCCTTTCCCTTCCCCTCCCCACAACAGGCACCCTGTGAGGTAGAAGAAGAAGAGATTGGATTTATACCCTGCCCTTCACTTGGAGTCTCAGAGCGGCTTACAAACTCCTTTCCCTTCTCCTCCCCACAACAGACACCCTGTAAGGTAAAAGAAGAAGAAGAGCTTGGATTTATACCCCGCCCTTCACTACCCAAAGGCGTCTCAGAGCGGCTTACAATCTCCTTTCCCTTCCCCTCCCCACAACAGACACCCTGTGAGGTAAAAGAAGAAGAAGAAGAGATTAGATTTATACCCCGCCCTTCACTACCCAGAGGAGTCTCAGAGCAGCTTACAAACTCCTTTCCCTTCCGCTCCCCACAACAGACACCCTGTGAGGTAGGTGGGACTGAGACAGCTCTTGACAGAAACTGCTCTTTTTCAAGAACAGCTCTTATCAGAACTACGGCTTGCCTAAGGTCATCCAGCCAGGTGCAAGTGGAGGAGTGGGGAATCAAACCCGGTTCTCCCAGATTAGAGTCCACGCACTTAACCACTACACCAAACTGGTGTATAGATTGCATTTCCTTTCTTAATTTTATCTATGTTCATTTTTGTTTTCCCCTTGTTTGTTGTGTTTTGTTAACCTATGGTTGTGTGCATCTGTTGTGCAACACATATATAAATATTTTGCTCATATATATAAATATTTTGCTCAATAACTCCTTGAGCTGTGCTTACTTTTGGATAAGGGATACCTTATTTCCTCTTAATTTCTGCTTCCAGCACACTACTGGATTCATGGAGCAGTACTGTAAAGATGCTACCTTAAAATATAAAGCTGGACTCTATGCAGGGCTTAATTTGATGAGAGGTATTAGGCCTGTGTCTATTTTAAATAAAAAGCTGGGCCCAGAAACACATAAAGAAAGAAGATGTCTTTGGTCAAATATAGATTGCCTTTCCTTTACCAGTTGAAAAGTTCAGCCAGATCCTCTCCATCTGAGATTAATGACAATAACTTCCAAGACACGGGATGTGATTCCAAAGTGGTTTGAGCTCACCCCACCAAACACCCCTCCATTTAATAAATTAAACCAGAGGTTCCATCTAGCCATGTGATTCTATATGTTTGGCATCAGATGTCAAATTAATGCTAGATTGCCACTTTGCTTGAGTGATCTTGGGTAAGCAAGTCAGCATGCAGTGAATTCAGCAATTTCCTTGTTTGAACTAGGCACAGCAAATGGGCATGCAATCCGCATGAGCTAAGAGCATGCAGTGTGGTGATCTGGCCATCAAATGTTCATTTCAGTGTTTCATCTTTCCTCAAGGGAAATCCAGAATTTGAACACAAAAAGGGTCATGTGAGGATAAAGAAATCTTAGGAATATTCTTCGTGCCATGTTCCCCCACAGTGCATTTGCGCTATAGTTAGAATCATAGAATTATAGAGTTGGAAGGGACCTCCAGGGTTGTATGACTCATCCCAACAACATCCACTATCATTAACAAATTAATGCAGATATTATTTGTCTTATGGCCAGAATGAATGAATGGCCACAGTTACGCTGCTTTTTCACTAGTACTCTGTGCCTCTGATTTGACACACTGGACACTGTATTCCGCTAACACTGGAAGTCCAGCTAACCAATAATTATAGAAACAGAGTCTTGCTTTTGTACAATTTATTTACCCATGCTTCATTTAAATGTTTTTTTTAAGCGCATTATGCCTAAAATATACTCATTGAACAACTGTGGTCTTCTGACCATAGATGGTCCAAATTTCCTTTCATTGGACCATGAGATTGCTTTGGAAACAATAAAAGAAAATGATGAAGGCTTTTAGCAATGATGGACACTAAATTAAAGTGCAACTGGATGCAGCTGAACTCCTTCTGAACCCTGATGTAGCAATACTTGAACGTACAGGGAAGGCAGGCGATCAAAGTAGTAATGGCCTTCAGTCACTTAGAGATTTGTCAGACAAGGTAGTGCTATTCCGGTTCAACTCAGCAGTGTCTTTGCTGACAAACATCTCTATCCACATCTGTTTTATGAGGGGAAATTTTAGAAAGCAGGTGTGGGTGGTGATGTTTGTCATCATTGCTAGAAGCCTTCGTCATTTTCTTTTAATGTTTCCAAAATGAGCTCATGGTCCATTAAAAGAAAATAAGGGCCATATATAGACAGATAGCCACAGTTGTCTGAAAGAGCAAGCAATCTACAATAGTTTAAGAATCACTATCATAGATCAATTGTTATGTTATACTGATTTAAATGTTAATCCCTTAAAAAATGTTGTTCTTTAGTTTGCATCACAATGGTCCCTGCCACACGGCAGGGAAAAGGACGGCTGAACTGCGGCTAATCTGAGCCGCACCAACGTTGAGACGCCGTGGTGGGATCCCATGGATCCCCTGTGCCGCTGCGCGGTGCTCCCCGGCACGATCAGATGCCGGGGAGGAAGAGTCAGATGGGAGGGGGAGGCTGCCGAACTGCGCATGCTCGAGCATGCGCAGTACGGCCGGGGGCCGGGATGCAGCGGCGCAAGGACGCGCCGGCCGATCCCACGGCCCGGCTTGCGGCGCTCTAGTGGAAACAACCACCTAGGTAGGTGGTTCTTTTTTAGTGCGCGTTTTCGGCGGTAGGGACGGATCAGGGACGGGCAGGCAACGATTCCCAGATGTTGCCGTGGGATCGCGCCCGTTTGCTCCGCCCCCATTCCGTCCCCCTCCTGGCCCAAAACGCCTCGTATGAACAGGGCCCATGTCTATTTGATTTTTCAGATTCGAATCTCTGTGACATTCCCAGGTAAAGGACTTCATTTTCTATGTATTGAAAACAGGGACAATATAGTTTCCCTTTGATGAGTTTCTTGAAACAATTCAATTATTAAAAAAACAGAGAACAATCATAAAGGTCATCTAGTTGAGCATTCTGTGTTAATAAAGGATTTTCAATAAGCAAAAGATTATAGCACATAAACCAGATCATACATCATAGAGTTACCTGAAAGGCAAGGAATACACTTTACCAAAATAAATCCAGACTATATAAACGTAATTTTCCCAACCTGCCACAGGCTTCAATAGCTGTTGAAATGCTACCCACCCTCAAAAGAATATCTGAACTGCCAGGACTAGAAGAATGTTCCCTGAAGGAAAACAAATCCTACACAGAAAATATACAAAAATAATAATAATAAGAGATTGGATTTATACCCCACCCTTCACTACCCAAAGAAGTCTCAGAGTGGCTTACGAACCCCTTCCCCTCCCCACAACAGACACCCTGTGAGGTAGGTGGGGCTGAGAGAGCTCTTGACAGAAACTGCTCTTTTTCAAGAACAGCTGTGCCAGAACTATGGCTTGCCCAGGGTCATCCAGCAGGTGCAAGTGGAGGAGTGGGGAATCAAACCAGGTTCTTCCAGATTAGAGTCCACGCACTTAACCACTACACCAAACATGATATGTCAGGGAGAAAGCTAGGTTGAGACTCCTTCACAGTGATTACCGATATTAAAAGAATTAACTTTTCCTGTGCAGGAGTGCTCCCAAAGACAATCATGCTATACAATGTACGATCCAAAAGCCAGCTTCATCAGCTTAGGAGGCTGGGTTCTCTCAGTGAAATTGGTCAGGAGCTGGAAACCTCCGTCCTCAAATTTAACCATTCCCTCACTCTGTGCACTTTGTCTGCGGTGGTATTGACCAGACAAAAGTTATCAGCGCTTTCAGGCTTCCATCATAACCAGCATTCCCTCTAAGCTGAGTTAGTGTGAGCTAGCTCACAGTTTTTTAGCCTCGGGCTCACACATTTTTGTCTTGGCTCAGGAAGGAGGGCTCCAGAGCAAACTAATTGATGCAGTAGCCAAATCGCTCGCTCACAGCTTTAATGCAGCAGCTCACAAAGTAGAATTTTTGCTCACAAGACTCCATAGCTTAAAGGGAACACTGAATCAGTATTCAAATAATGTGGGGCTGTAGAAATCTGGGATAACAGTCAGATAAGGCCCTGATTAGGGATATAGCAGACTTTTCAAATGACATAATTACTTTTAACTCATTAAAGGCATTGCAGGATAACTGTGCTTTATATGCCATCTGTTTAAATAGGAATAGTTGCTGACAAAGGATACTTACATAGCAAATGGCAGCTAGCTCCTGGCGTAAATTACTTGTCTCTAAACTCAATGTTGTTTTCATTGGGTTTACTCCATTATCATAAACTGTAAACTTAGTACCCATGAGGTTTGATCTATCAGAGAGGGGAAAGAAATCACTTCATTGCCCAATACAGAGTATGCTAACTTTGTCCATTACTATCACTGAATCGCAACAGCCCACAAAATGCAAAAAGACTTCTGAAAACTGCAGCATTTTTATTTATTTATTATGTTTCTATCCCACCCTCCCCTGCGAGCAGGTTCAGGGCAGGTTACAACCAATTAAAACAGTTAAAATAGAGCTCCAATAAATCAAGTAAAATCACATTACAATACCAAGACAACAAACATTCTCAAGATGGGAATTTCCAGGAAGTCCTGGTTGAGTCTGCATGCATGCCAGGTGGATCAAGGGTTAGGCAGTAAATAATGAGCACTTATAACTTATCTCCATATGGGGGGAAAGCGAGGTGGTGTGGGGGGCAGGGGAGGCCATTATGCATGGACATACGCTGCCTCAACCAAAGGCCTCGCAGAACAGCTCAGTTTTGCAGCCCTGCAGAATTGTAACAGATCCCACAGGGCCCAGATCTCACCGGGAAGAGTGTTTCACCAGGTCAGGGTTGAAAAGGCCCTGGCCTTAGTCAAGGCTAAACGGATGTCTTTGGGGCTAGGACCACCAGAAAATGCTGTTGAGAGGAGTGCAGGTAGGGTTGCCAAGTCGATTGTACTCACCGGCGGGGGAGCTGGGGTCTGGGAGCTGCTGCTGGATGTGTGTGTGCGCACGCTTTGCGCACGCCACCAAAACATCACAGGAAGTGACGCACGACGTAGAGCATGTCAATTAAAACAGTTAAAATACAGCTCCAATAAATCAAGTAAAATCACATTGCAATACCAAGACAACAAACGTTCTCAAGAAGGAAATTTCCAGAACTTCGGGAGGGCGGGGTTCCCCCTGGGGCCCGATTCCGCGGCGGCAGAAATCGGGCCTCCAAAGCGGGGGTTTACCCACCACCTGCCCCCACTTGGCAGCCCTAAGTGCAGGGCTCTCTGGGGAACGTATGGGGAGAATCAGTCCTGCAGATATGATGGCCCAGGACCACATAGGGCTTTAAAAGTTGGCACTAAGACCTTAAATCTGATTTTGTATGCAACTGGTAGCCAATGTAGCTGGCGCAGCACTGGCTGTATGTGTGCCCACACAGGCGCTCCAGACAGGAGGTGCGCCGCTGCGTTTTGCACCTGCTGAAACTTCCGGATCAGGGTCAATGGTAGCCCTGCATGGATTGAGTTGCAGTAGTCTAATCTAGAGGGACCATTGTGTGGATCACTGTGGCCAGGTTGTGTGGGGAGAGGTAAGGGGTCAGTTGCCTGACCAGCTGAAGATGGTAGAAGACTGACCAGGCAACAGATGTGACTTGGGCCTCCATATAAAGTGAGGCATCCAAAATCACACCTAAATTCGTCACTGTTGGCACTGGTGGCAAAGATGCCCCATCAAGGGTTGGGAGGTGGATTCCCAGACCCCCTCCTTCGCAGCTCAGGAACAGGACCTCCATCTTCGATGGATTTAGTTTCAGTCAACTTTGAATAATTTAGTTTCAATCAGCTTTGATGGATTTGGTTTCAGTCAACTCTGGAAGGTGGGATATAACAAGTGGTGTTCCAGACTGGACTCCCATTTATTATAAAATTCTGATAAAATTAGTTAAAATCTCAGTTAAATCTAGTACCACTGAGACCAGAGATGTGATCTACTAATGACCAGGCATTCAGAAACATTTAGGATAAAAAACAAAGGGGGTGGGGTCAGCCTAGAAAACAAACCCAAAAGGATTGAGTAAACAAACCTCAAAATATATACAAATTAAAAAACTAAAATAAGTTTTAATCATCCATTAATTACAATGAAATAATTACCGATAGACCACATACACCATAAAAATTGCTCTACTGTACATAAATCCCTTTACCAATATGGCAACTGACACATATTCAGTTGGTCAAAGAATATAACAAAACAAGAAAACACCTAGCTTGGTCTGATGGCTGTTGTCTTCATCAGAAGGTTGTGGCTTGATATACTTACTGCTCCACTGAGGAAGGCAGTAGCCTGAACGTGTTTGGTGTTTAGTTGTTTTTATCATATTCATTGACCAACTGAATATGTGCCAATTGATTGCTGTTTATGAATATGTGCCACTTGATTGCTCTGCCATACTGGTAAAGGGATTTATGTCTAACAGAACAATTTTTTCATTGTGTGTGTGCAGGGCTCTTTTTGTAGAAAAAGCCCAGCAGGAACTTATTAGCATAATAGACCACACCCAACAGCAGAAACTCATTAGCATATTAGGCCACACCCCTGACAGCACAGCTCATTGGCATATTAGGCCGCATCCCCCATGTTACCAGAAGTGTGGTCAGCCAGCCACACCCACCTTTTGCTTCTTATTCTGTTTACCTTGTCTGTTGTCAAAACCCAGGGCTTTTTTTTGTAGCCGGAACTCCTTTGCATGTTAGGCCACACCCCCCTAATGTAGCCAATCCTAATGAGTTCCTGCTGTTGGGTGTGGCCTATTATGCTAATGCGTTTCTGCTGGGCGTGGCCAACTCGGGAGCCAGCCGGAACTCCGTTCCTGTGCGTTCCTGCCCAAAAATAGCCCTCTGTGTGTGTGTGTCAAGATTACTCTGTCAAAGATTTCTCACAGTGGAAGGGGTTGGATCCAACCCTTTGATATCACTAGGTAGAGGGTATGATTTTACAATCCCTAAATGTTCATTGGATTGTTTTAGCATATACCGTCTTAGCATGCACTTTCAGTACCTAAATATTTACCTCAGTTTCCCAATGAAACTCTCTCCCCCTCGTGACAGATCTGTCGGGTCTATGGAGATGAGGTAATTTGAGGTTTTGCTCTTTTTTCGCTTCCTTCCAGCTAACAGGAACACCTAACAAGTTGAGAAAATAGCAGTTAGAAAAACACCAAGGCCAACTTCTTGTGGTTTAATGTTATCAGCAAAAATGCAGACGGTCAGCACGAGTTAGCAAAAATGGGCTAAAAAATCAGGAAGCAAAGTATTTATTTATTCAACCCATTATGTATGATTTAAATAATTAAACCTGATAAAGTTTCCCTCAGGTGAAAGGAAAACAGATGCCAGTTCAGATCTCAAAAGTGGGAAGCCCAACTGCTTTAAGGGCTCCCCTTTAAGGGCACCAAAAATGGTATTTCCTAAGAACAAAGAATCAACTAAAGCCACGTTGCTTTTCTCAAGTCTTATATTTAATTAACTAAAGTATTAATTTTGGGGGAAAAATCAAGCCTTAACTGCAAGTTGTATATGATAATAATTAGACACTGCACACATTACTGATGTTATGCAGCTTGCAAGTGGTTAAGACGATGAACTGCAGGCTGTGGAAGGTCAGTAGTTCAGCAGTTTGAGACCCGAGTGTGCCGCATGATGGAGTGAGCTCCCGTCTCCAGTTCCAGTTCCTGCCAACCTAGCAGTTCGAAAGCAAGAAATTGCAAGTAGATCACTTCGGTGGGAAGGTAACAGCGTTCCGTGCGCCTTGGTGTTTAGTCATGCCGGCCACATGACCACGGAAATGTCTTTGGACAGCACGGGCTCTTCCACTTTGAAATGGAGACGAGCACCGCAACCCTAGAGTCGGACTCGACTGGCTTTCGAGCAAGGGAAACCTTTACCTTTATTGGTTAGAAAATGCTACACTTACATGTATTTTATATAGTGTTGAACTTTATCTTGTCATCCAACCGTAAATTAGGCACCCAAAACGAATTACAGAAATTCACTTTGACAAGACAATCGAAAATTCGACTTAACACATTATTTTAAATTTCTAATCAATCAGAGCATGCAAATAACCAAACAAATATCACCCCATCACCAGGATGCTTATTAGGACCCTCTCTTAAGAGGCCAGGGAAACAGTCAAAAATAATGTCTACCTATGAGATTGGTGCCACCGATCGTGACTCCACAGAGTTTAAGAGGCCAGGGAAACAGTCAAAAATAAGGTCTACCCATGAGTCAAATGAGATTGGTGCCACCGATTGTGACTCCACAGAGAAACCAGCTTGCTCTCATAGTGTTTGGAGTGTTAAGTTCTATGATACCTTGTTTAATATATTTACTATAAGGATGGAACCAGTGCAATGTAGAGGTGGGACTGCTGGACCTGGATCTAAGAGACTCAGGTTCAAGACCCCACTCTGCCATGAGGCTCACTGGATGACCTTGGGTCAGTCAGTCTCAGTCCATCTAACCCACCCTCACAGAAGTGGGAGGAGCTCTGAGCTCCTTAGAGGAAGGGTGGATAAGAATATACATTATTATTGTTACTGTTGTATCTTTAACAACAAAAATGATTATATAAGAGGCCACCCCTCACTCAAGATATTTATTTATTCATTGAATGTTGCTTGAGGAGAGATTTGGGGTTTGCTATTTTAATTTTGCTTTAAAGAGAGCCAGTTTAGAGTAGTGGTTAAGTGCGCGGACTCTAATCTGGGAGAACCGGGTTTGATTCTTCACTCCTCCACTTGCAGCTGCTGGTGTGACCTTGGGTCAGTCAAAAGCTCTGCGGCACAGCTGTCCTTGAAAAAGAGCAGTTTCTGTTAAGAGCTCTCTCAGCCCCACCCACCTCACAGGGTGTCTGTTGTGGGGAGGGGAGGGGAAAGGAGTTTGTAAGCTGCTCTGAGACTCCAAGTGAAGGGCGGGGTATAAATCCAATCTCTTCTTCTTCTTCTTCTTCTTCTTTAACCAAAAACGTTTTTAACTATTATTGTAAGCTGCCTTGAATGAGGAACGGTGGGATATAAAGGCTTTAATAAATAAATAAGGTTGGAATAATGAACACATCAAGCTGCCTTATGCTTGGTCCATGAAAGTCAATACTGTCTACTTAGAATGGTAGCAGCTCTGCCTATTACCTGATTTTTAACTGGAGGTGCCAGGTATTGAACCAGGGAACTTTTGCATGGCAAGCAGATGCTCTACCACTGAGCCATGGTCCTTCCCTTTAGACTGAGCATCCAAACCTTTCTGATCAAATACAGTTAACAAAACCTTTTCCATTGTTAGTAATGTGCCTTGTGGTACCTTAGCACAGGAACACTGGAAATTTTTATCAGTCATTCTTCCTGCTTGCAGAACAGAAAGCCATCTAATTTTTTGTGCTAATATGTTAGAAACACTTAGGAAGGATAACCCAATAGATGAGCACAATGAATTCCCACTCCTACACTTCTGCAGTTGTTTTGTTCTGCTATCTTATAGGAAATCAACAAAATGTGGTTTGCGACCTTTTTACCATCCTCCCTTTCCAAATGGAGGTAGTAAGTAGGGTACATTCCACGGTCCATTCCCTTCTTGTCTCTTGAGATTCGGCATTTGACAGTAGCACCCTGAGGAGCGGGTCTCACAGCAAATTCCTCCAGGTCATCAACATCTATTACAGGGCTGTTTGTTGAAGGGCTGGGCCCTGCAGCTGTCTCCTAGAAGAGAAAGAAATGCTTCCATGTACTTAAAATATAACAGGAGATTGAAATCACTTTGACGTTCAATATGGTCTCTATGAAGTCAATGGGCTTAGAAGAGTGTAACTGTTTAGGGCTGCACTCTCAAACTATAACATTTGGCCACTGGGAAAACAAAATTCTGGGAAGCTTTAGGGCTATGCGGAATGTGGCTCTGCTGAGTGCTATGGTACCTAATGGATAGACTTTGGTGGCAATCCTACTAATATCTCCATGGAAGCAAGCTCCATTGAATAAAATGGGACATACTTTTGAGTAGAGCTGCTTAGCCTTGGTCCCTATGTGATTTTTTCTGTATTTTTTCTTGGATTTTAAAAAAAATCTTAGGGGGCTGCACACTCCTCTTTTCAAGTGGGCTAACCTCTTTATACAGCTCTATAAAAAGTAGGGAATGCCAGAAATGCCACTCTCACTCTACACTCACAACAGTGCTTTGATACTTTGTGAATGCTTCTTTTAATTTTTTTTTCAATTTTACCTTTTTTATTTAGCCCAAAGAACTAAATCTAGACTAATTTAAGGGGGGAAATACAAGGAGCACAATTTATCTCTGCAGGAGAGCCATCTCCACTACACCCTCACATCTGTGTGCATTCAGTATAAGCTGATCTGAAAAAATACCCGGAAAATACCTTACTGGTATTTTTGGAGTATTATCTAAGCCGAATACAGATTACAGAATCTGATCTGCTACCAGTATAGCTGAGCCCGAATAAAGCCAATTTTTGGCTATTATTCGGGTATATTTAGCTATACCAAATGGCTGGTGGGCTCCTCTTGCAGCTCAGTTTAAACCAAGAGGAGCCAGCCCCAGCCAAGGTGATGTGGAGCTCTCAGCTTCCGCCACCCCAGCTGATCCTCTCTTGCCTCCCTGCTGCCCACAGATCCTGGGGCCAGCTTCTACTGTGGCATGGTTTAAACTTCACTGCAGGAGAAGCCCTCCCAGCCAGGTCTGTGTGAGGTGGGGAGCAACCTCTCCACTGCATGCAGATCCTGCAGCCAGCTTCTCCTGTGGCATGGATTGCTGCAGGAGAAGCCAAGCCAGCCCAGGGTGGGACTGGCTTTTCTTCAATCAGTATTTTTATACTCAAGTCTATTGGACTTGGAAAAAATTGGAATTTCCGAAAAATCCCAGATCCAAATACCATACCAGTATTGGGAACTGGGATTTTTCAGAAATACTGACATTTTTTCAGGTCCAATAGACCCAAACTGGAAAAAACTGTGGGGTTGTTGTTGTTGTTTTGCACACCCCTAGTCATCGCACTACTGATGCAGCAATTATTTATTTATTTTTGTATTTATAGCCTGCCCATCCCACAAGTGGGCTCAGGGCAGGTAACATCATATCAACAATACAATAAATACAGTTAAAAATTTTAAACACAATAATAAACATTAAAATTGGTGGTCACAATTTTAGGTTTGAGTTACTGCTATGACTTAACTTCCTTCTTGGTTGTATGATAAGACCAAGAAAAGAAATTATGCTTTCAAGTTACAGCAAAGCAAAATTTAGCTGAATATCAGTAAGTGCTTCCTTGCTGTAAAATTAGCTGGGCAATCCATTGAGATGGCTTAAGCTCTAAGGAATTCAGGTGAGCCAGATGTCCCGTGAGGCATGATTCCACCATTATGCCAGACTTTTCACCTTGTTTGATTTCTTGCTTGTTGCAGAACCTGGTCTGGTGTTACTGTTTAACTGGGAGGAACTTGAACTGTCCTCATCCTCCTCATCTTCCTCTTCATCAAAATTCATGCTGCTTGAAATACCTAAGATACATTTACAGAAAAAAATGACTACTACATAAAACAGTTTGCTGTGATAATTTTGTTTGCTCACCTTGTTTGATTTCTTGCTTGTTGCAGAACCTGGTCTGGTGTTACTGTTTAACTGGGAGGAACTTGAACTGTCCTCATCCTCCTCATCTTCCTCTTCATCAAAATTCATGCTGCTTGAAATACCTAAGATACATTTACAGGAAAAAAATGACTACTATATAAAACAGTTTGCTGTGATAATTCTTAATCTGAACACAATTTTGTTTGCAATCTCTACCATTCTTCCATCTCCATTATTTTTGGTTTTCAGAAACAGCACAAGATAGAAACTTTCTTCATGCCTTGCTGAAGTATTTGTCAGCCCACCACCATTAGGAAAATTCTGACTTAGCTAGATTATTGGTCCAAACCAGCATGGTGGATCTTGAATTCATACCTAACTGTAGTGTTTCCATCCTGTATCTACATATCTAATAGCCAAATTCCCTTTTGGGTGCAGATACTTATTTCTGCCAACAGAGGGCTCACTCTCCCCCAACAGCTTTTTCTACAGACTTAGGGGACTCTGTGGGACTACAGAAAAGTCCAAAAAGTTTTTTAAAAAAGTTGGGGAGGGTTGAATCCCCCCCCCAATACCTTTTGAAACAGCCTCCACAGGGGCCAGTTCATCCAGG